CTTATTTCTTCATTAATAAAACTTTCCTTTTCACTAGAGAGAGAGGAGCGGCAAAGAGGAAACCCTAGCCGCCCCCTTCTCTTTTTTTCTTCTTTTCTTCTCCTCTTTCAATCTTCTTTTGAATCCAATCATGAAAAAGATTTCATTTGATCAGTGTTTTCAATTCTACATTTATGCTTATTTTCTAGCGTTGTGTAGAGATATTATTTTCGCTGGCTAAGTGTCGCTCACCATATGTATATTCCACACCATTATGACATTATCGATCGGGTGTTTTTATGTGCTACTAAGAGGTTTGTATTGACTTCTTTGTCATCATGTTGTATTAATATAGAGACCGATCGCCCCCATCCTGAACCACTGCCGATCCAGGAAGATGAAATTGAATGAATCGCTCTCTTTCCGGTGGTTGATGAAATGGAACAATTTCTGCACTTGGCTCCTTACTGATGATTGAAAAAACCGGCAAGTTTAATAATTCCTTTCTGATTCCTTGTCAAATCAGAATGGCATCTTTGGAGGTAGTAGTGTTAGAAAAATGATATTAAAATGCGAGTTTAACCAGATAAAAATCCCGAGTTTACACAAATCACCAGACAAACCAACAAATGCAAGAACAAATAAAAAATAATAATAATTAGAATAATAAAATTGAATAAAGAGAAAAGATAAGAAAAACTTATCGCAGGATCGCCCGTTGAGACGGACTGGCCTTGAAGAAAGATAGCCCCCGTATCCCGATAGCTATTCGGACGGGTCTGGCTAGCTCGCTCCCAGGATAATCCTACCACGTTTCAGGCTCGTAGCTACCTTGACTGAAACCTTCGACCGTTGCCCAATATGCCGTTGACTCGTTAAATAGATATAACTTTATGAAGAAACTATGGATTCAAAAGCTCTCATCCCAGATCGAAGTATTACTTACTCGTAGAAAAACTTTTTTTCTTAATTTGGAGAAGTAGTCCCGTATTCCAAAATACCATCTCCTTATATTACTTATACATGCATGTACGTTATCAAAATAAAAGTGATGGGAAGAGAAGCATTAAAATGCAAACGGTCCTATCATTGTGCATTTACATGCATACGTTATACATGGAGGAAAGAGAGCTCGTGGGTTATCAATTTTTAAACCGGAAATCAGATTAATACATAATACATGTACTAAAGGAACTTGCTGATCCCACACGTGTGCAGCCACCAGCCCACTCATCCTATAGATTAGGATCACCCAACAATTTTAATCAGGCTGACAACACACGTTCAAATTTCAATTTTGAAATTTCCGAAATCGGCTGGCTTGCACGTTTTTATTACTTTGGAATAAAACGGCTGAACATTAAATCCTAATAACTTAATGGCCCCAAAACTTAAGATATCAATCGAACGATCTTAATCTTTACTCATTCCGTATAGTCCGAATGAATTAATAAGTTCGTATAAGATAATATCTTAAGTCTCATATATGATACATGAATAATATATATTCCTTATCATATAACGTTTAGTGACCATATTTGAAAATTAGGACATAAATAAATTTATTTATTATATCAATACATCACTTCTACAACATTTACAACTATGGATTATGATTATTAAAAGAGACAAATCCAATAGAGAAATTGTACTTTGATTGTACTTTGATGTATAATAAGCCACTTCCTCTCCGTATTATATATTTTCATACACACACACACATACACACACACACATATATATATATATATATCATGGGGCTCATAAAAGAGACCATAAAAATAATTTTATATCATCATATTTCCAACAATCCCCCACAAATCCATAGTTGTAGACTCAACTCTAGAAGACATAGTGTGCTTTCAAATATGGTACCTTCCGGTTTGAACCAAATTCTAAGCTCTTACCCCTAACCCCCACAGGAACTGAGTGAACAGAGTTCTTGAACTCGAACCTTGATTGTGTTGGCGCGGGATAAAAGCAACACACTAACGGCGATGGCAACGATCTATAGGGGTGACGCTTTACGGCCGTGCGTCCGATCCTGTCTCAAGAATGTCATCGAGAATAAACCCACATTCTCTTATTGCGGCCACACAATAACATTCTCATAGTTGGGCATCTCCAAGAGTGCATTGCTGACACTCTGCTATTAAAGCTTGATCCCATTCAGAGTCTTAAACTCTTACTAAATTGGCAATTTTAGCATCTCTAAGGCTTATCAAGGAATAGAACTCATAAAACAATTATTTTCATGAGATGCTCAATTCACTCTACGGTTTGTTTATACCTCGTTGAACCTACTTTATGGGATCTCCACTCAGATAGGTTGGGTTGCTACCGTAGATGAATAATTATTGGGTTTCAGTCCCATTCCTAACCTTGATTTTATCACTTGATTTAAATCAAGTCCTTTTGTTAAAGGGTCTGCTGTATTATCTTTGGATCCAACAAAATCAACAGCGAACACCCCTTGAGACACAAACTTCCTTATAGTTTTTAATCTAACTTGAATGTGTCTCCTAGTCTTTTGATTGTACTTGGTACTCCTAATTTTTGCAATTGTACTCATACTATCACAATGCAAACAAATAGGTGGAATTGGCTTGCTGAAAATAGGTAACTCGGACATTAGCCCCTTAAACCATTCAGCCATAATTCCTGTAGTATCCAAGGCACATAATTCAGCCTCAAAAGTAGACCGAGAGAGTACAGTTTGTTTAGTGGACTTCCAAGCAACAGCCCCACCACCAAACGTAAACACATAGCCGGTACACCCATAACTCCCAGAGTTTTTAGCTATCCAGCTTGCATCACTATATCCTTCAAGAACAGGAGGATATTTACCATAATGCAAACCCAAGGAAATAGTTCCTTTCAAGTATCTGAATACTCTATCTAAAGCCTCCCAATGAGTTCTGTTTGGACAGCATGTGTACCGACTAAGTTTAGACACTGAAAATGCAATATCAGGTCTAGTACAGTTAGCTAAGTAACCCAAGCTACCAATCATCTGAGAATATTTTAATTGAGACACAGGAACACCACTTTCATTTTTATACAAAGCTACAGAAGGATCATAGGGTGTTTTGGCAATTCTACTATTTTTAAATCCAAATTTCTCAATTAATTTTTCAATATAATGAGACTGAGAAATAGAAATGCCTTTGGTTGATCTAGTCAACTTTAGCCCAAGAATTACTTCCGCCACCCCCATATCCTTCATTTCAAACTTTGTTTTCAAAAATGACTTAGTCTCAAAAATAATATTATCATTAGTGCCAAATAATAATATATCATCAACATATAGGCATAAAATAATACTTATATCACCTTTACATTTATAATAAACACTTTGATCAGCATCTATAAGAGTAAATCCCAACGAAGAAATTATTTTATCAAATTTTTCGTTCCATTGCTTAGGGGCTTGCTTAAGTCCATATAAAGACTTAACTAATTTACAAACTTTTCTCTCATTGCCTTTTGCCACAAATCCCTCAGGCTGATCCATATAAATTTCTTCTTCAAGGTCACCATGAAGAAAAGCTGTCTTAACATCCATTTGATGAATTTTAAGACCATATACGGAGGCCAATGCTATAAGCATTCTTATTGTGGTCATTCTTGCAACTGGAGCATATGTATCGAAAAAATCAATACCTTCTTTTTGTTTATAACCCTTAGCAACTAATCTGGCCTTATATTTATCAATGGTTCCATCTGGTTTTAGCTTCTTTTTAAAAATCCATTTACATCCAATAGTAGTACACCCGGGAGGAAGATCAACAAGCTCCCATGTTCCATTTTGAACAATGGAGTCCATTTCACTTTTAATGGCATCCTTCCAATACATGGCCTCAGACGTGACCATTGCATCTCTAAAGGAAATTGGATCACCCTCAATATTGTAAGTGATAAAATCACTTCCAAAATCCTTAGTGATTCTTAGCTCGTTTGCTCCTTCTCGGTTCATATAGACCATTTGATTCAAAATCAATATGACTAGAACTACCAGATTCTACCCCCACATTTGTCATCTTTTCCACTTGATCAGGAATTGAATTAAATGTAGTTTCTTGATTTTCAAAAGAAGTATTTTGGGGCACACCCGTTTTCATTGGAAAAACATCTTCAAAGAAAGTAGCATCACGAAATTCTACAATAGTATTGACATCTATGCCAGAAATTTCAGATTTAATAACCAAAAATCTCATTGCATAAGAATGTTCAACATAACCAATAAAAATAGCATCAACAGTTTTAGGCCCAAGTTTCTTTCTTTTATGTTCAGGGACTAATACTTTTGCAAGACAGCCCCACACCTTAAAATATTTCAAACTTGGTTTTCTGCCTGTCAAGAGTTCAAATGGACACTTATCTTTATGCTTCATGGGAATCCTATTCAAAATATGGCATGCCGTATTCAAGGCTTCCCCCCACATAAATTTAGGTAATCCACAATTCTCTAATAAACTATTAATCTTATCTTTAAAAGTTCTATTTTTCCGTTCAGCTACTCCATTTGATTGTGGTGAATAAGGAGGTGTTTCCTCATGTACTATACCATATTTTTGGCATTCCAGTACAACTAAATTAGAAGTATACTCTCCTCCCCTATCAGACCTTAACCTCTTAATTTTCTTGCCAGTTTGATTCTCTATTTCATTCTTAAAAATTAAGAATTTTTCAAGAGCTTCATCTTTACCCTTAAGTAGATACACATAACAGTATTTAGAATAATCGTCAATAAAAGTGATAAAGTATTTTTTCTTATCACGTGTAAGCACTCCATTAAACTCACAAATGTCGGTATGAACTAAATCAAGTAATTCTGAATTTCTATCAATTGAATGATATGGTTTTCTTACTTGTTTAGTAGTAGCACATACCATACATTTCTTAGTTTTATCAATAGAGTGATTAGGAATTAAATTTAAATTCATCATTCTTTTCACAGAATCTAAATTAACGTGACCCAAACGATAATGCCATAAAGTTGAAGAATCACAATTCTCAGATACATAATTTAATTCTAAATAATCAACCATAACTTTAAAAAGTCCATCAGACAAGTAACCTTTGCCAATAAAAATTCCACCAAATAAAATTACAACTTTATTTAATTTAAAAGACAACTCATAACCCTCCCTAACTAGAATGGAACCACTAACGATGTTCCTTCTAATTTCGGGAACGTGATGCACTCCATGCAAAGATAGAATTTTTCCCGAAGGGAATTTTATTTCTACTTTTCCAATTCCTTGCACACTTGCAGCACTTGTGTTCCCCATCATCACTGTTCTCCCAACCGCAGGCTGATAAGAAACAAAGAGCGATTTGTCAGCACATACATGCACATTCGCTCCTGTATCTATTAGCCACTCATTGGAATTATAAATAGTGAAAATTTGAGGATTAATAGAAACGTACCCATTAGAACTAGTCCCTCCAGTCACCATGTTGACTTGAGGTCCCCCAGATTGAGCCTTTGCCTTTTTATTTGGACATAATTTGGCCCAATGCCCCATCTGTCCACAGTTCCAGCATGGTCGGTTTGCCTTTGGTTTCTTTGCAATTTTTAATTTGGCCTTTATTGGTTTAAAAGATGATGGTTGCTTATTTTTAGAGTTATGTGCTTGCTTTCCCCCAGTTATAACATGAGCCTTCGGTTGAAATTCAACAGGCGCAATATAACCCGCTTTCTTATGTTCCTCCTCAACCGTAATGGAATGCATCAAAGATTTCCAAGTGATCTTTTTCATTTTATGTTTTAAAGTCATACCAAAATCTTCCCATGATTTGGGAAATTTTTCTATGACCGCCATCACTTTAAATTTTTCAGGCAATTCCATGTCCGCTTCACGAAGAGAATGTAAGATAAGCTCAAATTCTTGTGTCTGTTCTAAAACCGATTTTCCTTCTTTCATGTCAAATCGTAGGAATTTAGAAACAATATATTTTTCAAGACCGTGGTCATCAGTATTATATTTTCTATCTAACTCATCCCAAAGGTCTTTGGCCGTCCCATGGAGGGTACAATAGACATCAAATAACATGTCGGATAAACCCATGAGAATCATGCCTTTTGCAATTTCGTCCCTCTCAAGCCAAAGTCCATGACGTTCAAGACTTTTGGGATCAGATTCGACAACCGGAGGACACACCGTCATAATCACTGAAAGCAAGCCCTTGGTGATTAACCAAATTTTCATGCGTTGTTGCCAACGCTTGAAAAAATGCCCAGAAAATTTTTCGGGCATCCCGGTTAAATCCACCCTGTGCGAGCCCGTAGCAATATATTCAGGTGTGCCTTGTGAATTAGTGACAGACACAGAATTATCATTTTCAGGGGCGACAAAAACATGCTCTAAACCAACAGTTTCATTGTTAACAGCATTTTCCAAGTTCGCCATTTTTGGATTTTCAAAAACTCGAGAAATAATATCTTTCTTCAAGATTGTTAGAAAAATGATATTAAAATGCGAGTTTAACCAGATAAAAATCCCGAGTTTACACAAATCACCAGACAAACCAACAAATGCAAGAACAAATAAAAAATAATAATAATTAGAATAATAAAATTGAATAAAGAGAAAAGATAAGAAAAACTTATCGCAGGATCGCCCGTTGAGACGGACTGGCCTTGAAGAAAGATAGCCCCCGTATCCCGATAGCTATTCGGACGGGTCTGGCTAGCTCGCTCCCAGGATAATCCTACCACGTTTCAGGCTCGTAGCTACCTTGACTGAAACCTTCGACCGTTGCCCAATATGCCGTTGACTCGTTAAATAGATATAACTTTATGAAGAAACTATGGATTCAAAAGCTCTCATCCCAGATCGAAGTATTACTTACTCGTAGAAAAACTTTTTTTCTTAATTTGGAGAAGTAGTCCCGTATTCCAAAATACCATCTCCTTATATTACTTATACATGCATGTACGTTATCAAAATAAAAGTGATGGGAAGAGAAGCATTAAAATGCAAACGGTCCTATCATTGTGCATTTACATGCATACGTTATACATGGAGGAAAGAGAGCTCGTGGGTTATCAATTTTTAAACCGGAAATCAGATTAATACATAATACATGTACTAAAGGAACTTGCTGATCCCACACGTGTGCAGCCACCAGCCCACTCATCCTATAGATTAGGATCACCCAACAATTTTAATCAGGCTGACAACACACGTTCAAATTTCAATTTTGAAATTTCCGAAATCGGCTGGCTTGCACGTTTTTATTACTTTGGAATAAAACGGCTGAACATTAAATCCTAATAACTTAATGGCCCCAAAACTTAAGATATCAATCGAACGATCTTAATCTTTACTCATTCCGTATAGTCCGAATGAATTAATAAGTTCGTATAAGATAATATCTTAAGTCTCATATATGATACATGAATAATATATATTCCTTATCATATAACGTTTAGTGACCATATTTGAAAATTAGGACATAAATAAATTTATTTATTATATCAATACATCACTTCTACAACATTTACAACTATGGATTATGATTATTAAAAGAGACAAATCCAATAGAGAAATTGTACTTTGATTGTACTTTGATGTATAATAAGCCACTTCCTCTCCGTATTATATATTTTCATACACACACACACACACACACACATATATATATATATCATGGGGCTCATAAAAGAGACCATAAAAATAATTTTATATCATCATATTTCCAACAAGTAGATCAAACATCTTCTCCCTTGCTAGTGACTTGTAAAACCAGGATTTTTTATTCTTTTGTTTCTTAATTTTCAGTTTATGAACTCTAGTTTTTTAGATCTTTGTCTTAGTAGCAAGTACAACTATGGTGTTAGAATAGCCATAATATTAATATATAAGGTACTGTTTATGCATTGCATAATGCATAAAAGGAAAGTAATGAGATTTAAAATAAAAACATAATGCATAAGGCATCAATTGTGGGAATTATGTGCATATACTACGTACAAAGTAAAATTAGCCAATATATTCAATTAATTTCCATATTGAACGAATAGCCCCAAAGTTATTTTGTAATAACTTTGGGGGTGTTTGGATCTGATTCTCAAAACTGATTCTGCTCTTTCAGGGAGCAGAAGCAGAAGCTGTAGTGTTTGGGTGAAATTTCAGAAGCACTTCTGGAGCTATAATTTACTCTCAGAATCAGTTTTTTTAGAAGCTGGGAGGTACCAGCTTCTGAAAATTGATTCTGATTCTGCTTCTGCTTTTAAAAAAGAAGCAGAAGCAGAATCAGTTCCAAACACCCCTTTGTCTAACATTACACCATCGTGTAAAAAAAAAGAATTTTAATCGTATACCAAGAAAGATAACATCTTGTAAACATGTAAATGATGTAATAACACTTTGTCAATGATTTGTATCAAGAGAATAACAATCCAACTAACATCTTCACCCATCACCTCATAGTTAACAATCGGTAAGACTGAATGTATCTCCTTTTTCATAATCGTGACGTATGAATCAAATAGAGCACATACTTTGCTGGTTATGATGATGGAGAGTCACCACCAACCGGGTGTTGTACTTCGTATATTAGAGCGTTTTGGTAATTTTTTGATAGCATTCTCAAAATATGAGTAAATTGATTTTGAAATTCCAAAATAGAACTGCTATTGTCGTATTACATATGTATAAAATAGGTAATTGTAATTTTTAGTGTATTACTCGTACATATAATCAACTTTCAATAATAACATTATAATAATTATGACATATAAGTGTGCTATAATAAAGTATAAAATAAAACGATAGTACATAGTTATTGGTTACTTATTTCAATAATTTAAATTATTTTATAACTTTTAAAAAATAAGATACTCCCTCCGTTCCGAAAACAAGTTTCCACTTTCCTTATTTGGATGTCCCAAAATAAAGTTCTCATTTCCTTATTTGACAAATTATCTATAAAAAAAATACAAAACAGTGTCAAACAGTGCAAAACAGTGTCAAACAGTGTCGAAATAGTGTCAAAACAGTAAAATTTACCTCTCAGTAACTTTATTTACTTAAAATGTGTGAAAGTCAAATCGGGAACTTGTTTCCGGGACAGAGGTAGTAGAACATAACAAAAAATATGTACCTGCGATCGAGACAGATGAAGAAAGAAGAAGGCGGGACTCGGAAGCAAAGCAACACTCTAGGCACAAGGGAGAAGACTAATGAGAGACTTGGAGTTTGATGGAGTGAGGAAGAATCGCCTACAGACTTAGAACTTGAATCACCAAAATTCCATGAGGTGTGAGAAGCGGCCGCCTATCAGACGCGTGAAAGGCGGCAAAAGGCATTGTTGAAGGCGCGCCTCTTAGAATCTACCACGCCTAGTATTATGAGATGTGATAAACATATCGCCTTAGAGCACCTTGCGCCTTGCTTTTTTAAACCAAGAGTTAAAGTAATGCAACGTTCAAATGTTCACATTTATGATTAAACTTATGCTCAATTGAATGCACATTTTTTCAATTCATGATAGTGCACATTTTTACATTAAATAATTAATGCACGACAACCAAACTCAACGCTTTAGAATTATTTTCATTTACCTCTTTAGATCATGTTCTATTTTGAACCAATTCTACAACCATGCTAAAAAAGATACTCGAAGGATCTATAGTGATATTTATTACTCAGCTCAGAGCATCCTCATTCATTAGTTTATTTGAATGCTAATCATTGTGAGATGGAGATATTAGAGAGATTATTGAAAAACAAAATATGGAAGAATAGTGTGAAAACCCTAGAATAGTTTGGAGATGTGTGGAACCTTCAAAAACCTTATGAAAGAATATGGAAGGAAATGTAAGAGAATGGAGAGGTGTAGATATTTCTTAGAGTTCTCTAGAGTATGAGAAAATGTATAGAAAATTCCAGAGAACTATTGTCACCATTCATTGTGGGGAGGTGGAGTAGTATAAATACGAGTAGCAGGCTTCATTCATATCCATCCTGTTGGGGCATCACGTAGGAGGTGATAATTGAGTACTTGGATTGCTTAAGGATCATGTAAGTTCACTTTCCAAATTGATATTTCTCCCCTATGTCTGGGTTACAAGAAATTCAAGCTAGTATAATCTTTAAGAACACTCTAGAACTTAGGCACAAGAACTAGAGACAAACTAGTGAGTATATGGATTGTTTTTGCTTTAATTTGAGTGCGAAAGTGATGAAGATTCGTTGGATGTTATTCCTCTACCTCCTCTGTCCGAAATATGGTGATATATATCCATATCAAGCGTCCTAGGCAGTTGCAACACGTTTGAGAAACCGCAGCAGTTTTTGGGAAACTATTGTAAACTGCCCAACCGTTCTAGAACTCGGTCTAGAACCACAGAGCTGGTCTACTGAAAGTTATACCTCGAGTTCTACCTCGAGTTCCACTAACGTAGACACTTTGGAATTAAACTAGTTCTTATATACAAGTGTGCACTTCACACCTACTAACTTGTATTAGATCATAGTTCTAATCCCGATTGGCACTCATGTCATTTCTAATTATACAAAACGGCCGGTGACACTAAAATCACCAACAATCCTCCCCCATTTTAGTGTAACCCATGAAATGACATAACAAAACTTACAAACCAAAACTTGCACATAAATGGAAATGTCGTTACGATTGAATTTCCATCTTAGTATTTTACACATTCAAATTATTCGAGAATCAGGGTGTCCTACGGATTGAACCCTTCAACCCATTTCAATACCTCAAGATAAAATACATACATGTTTCTATACTCAACTAGAATACAAACTTGACACAATTATAAAGCCGCGTGTCCTAATCCCATTCATGACCGTATAAAAGCCAAGTCCCAAGCTTTTTGAAGTGCAGCTAGACTTCACGATCACATAGGCAATTCCTTTATTCATGTACCTGCTTACATTTTATCAAATGAATTATTAAGAAATAAATTCAGCCTCCCTACTACAGGTCCGAACACACACTTTGGGATGATTTTCATTGTGTGTTCCAATCCATTAAGTGTGAGCTTTCCGCATTGAATTTAGCCTCTAATGTTGTATTAGAGGGGAATTGGGTGTCTCACCATTAAGTATTAAATGGACTTTAAACCCATCCCTATAACAGACTTGTGCACTAAGTCTCGGGCCAAACTTTTGGTCAAGTGGTCCGCCACGTTATGTTGCGATCTTACAAATTCCATTGAAATTACACCATTCATGATTAGTTCCCTAATCATACTATGTCTAACACCCAAGTGTCTAGACTTGCCATTATAAATATGACTATGTGCCTTAGCCAAAGTGACAGCACTATCACAATGGATAGAAATAGGTGTAATCGGTTTCTTCCACAATGGAATCTCAAGAATTAAATTTCTTAACCACTCCGCCTCTTTACCGCCGGTAGCCAACGCAAACTCAGATTCCATTGTTGAACTTGTGATACAAGTTTGCTTCTTGGAAGCCCAAAATATGGCACCTCCCCCAAGCAAGAATACCCAACCACTTGTAGAAGAATGATCCTCTACATTGGATATCCAACTTGCATCTGAATATCCTTCTAATATCGAGGCATCAAGATCACCATCTAAAAATGCCGTCTTGACATCCATCTGATGTAGTATAATCAGATTGTGTATAGCCTCCAAAGCAATTAACAACCTAATGGCTGTAATTCGAGAAACCGGCGCATACGTGTCAAAATAATCAATTCCGTGTTTTCGTCTAAAACCTTGAATGACTAACTGAGCCTTGAACCTGTCAACAGTTCCATCCACTTTCATCCTCCTTTTGAAGATCCATTTGCAACCTAAGGTTTTAGAACCCGGTGGCAAATCCGACAACACCCAAGTGTTGTTCTCCATAATTGATGACATTTCATCATTAATTGTCTCCTTCCAAAAGGTAACATCTCGGGACTCCATTGCCTCTTTAAAGGTCTTTGGATCATCCTCAACTTGATAACAATATGAATATTGTACCCCTACTTCATCCCTTGAACCTTCCACTAAATACAAGTGAAAATCGGGACCAAAGTCTTTCACGATGCGACCTTG